TGTTCATGAGTTTTATTTCTATTTTTGATAAAACAAGCTCCTCAACTAAATGCTGCTTCTACCAGGATCCATTCACCAATTGAAATTGAATGATATATACTGTACATTGGACCAATTATTAGTTAGGCTTAGTATATTTGTAATTATACTGTAACTAGGCTACTGCATTATACAAGGCTGTTGAAACGTAAAGGAGAAGTATAGCCAATGTTTTTTGGGCTGTACTGCTCCTTTGAATCACCATTTTCAGTCAACAGCGGGTGAAGCCAGAGCTTGTCCAGGTTCTGAAAAGATCCTGACCATATGGTCAGAATCTGACCAGAAACCTGGGATGTCTGCTGGCTCAGCCTTTCAGCGATCTGCTGAGAACCTGAGACCCCCTCTCCCACCCCCTCCACAGCCCAATGCTCCAGTGAGCACCAGAAAGGCAGAGCAGGGAGCCAGAGACTATCGGTCACAGCTCTTTGCTTAGAGCAGTGAGGAAGCACTGACTGATCACGGTGTTTGATGGCTCAGTTCTCTGTGTAGAGCCGGCAGGGGACAGATGCAGCATTGGATCAATGCAGAATCCACCTAGGGAATTTGTTTTTACAGCCAATACTGCTCTTTCAAGTGCATCTCTGTAATAAACTTTATTAATTAGTGCCAAAAAAAACTGCTGATTTAACAATGTTTAGCAGTTTGGTAAATATACCCAAAAAGTATATTCAGATGAATTCACCGTGGGAGCTTTACTGAACATGGTAGTATGAGTCAAATGTTTATTACTGAAATAAAGCAGCATAATAAAGGGCAATAAATACAGGAACAAACTTTAATGCTTTTTTCCAAAACATTAAATAGATGCAATATACCAATTGTCTGTGCTGAGTTTATAAAAGAAATACAATAAAGTGAGCATCCTAAATACCTGTTTTCTTTTAAATAATGCATTTATTTCTGACAAATTGCTGGTATATCTAATTTTAGGTTGAATATGTATTTATTGAAGTTCCAATAAGAAAGCGTAAGATACAAAAGTACCAGGTATGGGTACCACTACATCGTATGTTAACATTCAAACCCATAGCCAATATAAATCATAAAGGTGACACATATTAAAAGTTATGATGAATGACAAAGATATGGACCTGGAGACCAGTGGTGTGTTATATCAGTGGTACCAGGAGAGTGGACTATGGGGTACATATTAGATATATACAGTGCTCAGCATAAATGATTATACCCAGGGGCGGACTGACCATTTGGAAACTCGGACACTGCCCGAGGGCCCGGGGTCAGTAGGGGGCCCCATGAGACCTTTTTCATAGGCTTTTTTGAGTTTGGGCAAAGACACAGGGGGCCCATGATCCCCTATTGCCCAAGGGCCCCATGAGTTGTCAGTCCGCCCCTGAGTATACCCCAACAGATTTGTCAGAAAACCTTTACTTTCATTTCAGAATCAATATTTTCTATGGGGCACTATACTACAAAATACTCCCACAAATGCAGGCCATTGACTGCAAACAAAATTTGTTAATTTTCCCACACAACAAATTCATTCAAATCCATGTTGCAAAAATTAATACACCCAAATCAAAGTCTTAGGTGCAAAGTTAAAATTTTAGACAACAAAATCCTATTTAACAAGAATTCAACTACAGGTGAGTTTAATTATTCATTAAACAGGTGTCCAGCAGACAGCTGATTATAAAAGGGCATTACTTAACAAAGAAAACCCCTTTCCATTTCTTGCTGCCAGCAATGGCACTACGTGGAAGAAAAATGTCACAAGGCCTGAGAAGGAAAATCCTTTCTTTACACAAGAAAGGTGAAGGCTACAAGAAGATAAGCAAAGCTTCACTTATCAGTCGGAATACTGTAGCAAAAGTGATATAAAAATTTAACAAAGATGGAACTGCAACCATCTCACAGAGATGTCCAGGTTGTCCATGGAAGTTAACAACTTGACAAGAGCATCTTCTGATGAAAAAGGTTGAACAAAATCACCATGCAAGTTCACTGCAGTTAACTAAAGAAGTAGAAACTGGGGGGATTGTTTCCCGTGACACAATACAGCATACACTGCAGAGGAATAATTTGCATGGGTGTCCTCCATGAAGGAAGCCTCTCCTAAAGCCCATGCACTAAAATGCCTGCCTAGAATTTTCCAGGGCCCATGCTGAAAAAGTAGACTATTGGGACTCTGTACTCTGAAGTGATGAGACCAGATAAAGGTTTTTGGAATGGATGGCTTCAAAACTGTATGGAGTCACAAAGGTGAGGAGTACAAAGAAAAATGCATGGTGTCTACAGTGAAACATGGTAGTGACAGTGTCCTTCTGTGGGGTTGCATGAGTGCTGCTGGTGTCGGGGAGCAGCATTTAATTGCTGGTATCATGAATTCAAAGATGTACTGCTCTATATTGAAAGAAAAGATGCTACCATCACTCAGGGTGAAAGCGTTTGAGTGGCCAAGTACACTATATTGCCTATACTATGTTAAGTATTGGGACACCCCTCCAAATCTCTGGATTCAGGTGTTCCAATCACCTCCATGGCCACAGGTGTATAATATCAAGCACCTAGGCATGCAGACTGCTTCTACAATCATTTGTGAAAGAATGTATTACTCTCAGGAGCTCAGTGAATTCAAGCTTGGTACCATGATAGGTTTCTACCTGTGCTACAAGTCCATCCATGAAATTTCCTTGCTACTAAATATTCCACGGTAAACTGTTAGTGGGTATTGTGACGGTCATGGCGTCAGACCCCCAGACCCCCAGCCCTTCTCGCCAACTCGTGACCGAAGGACTAGCCAATCTAAGACCGTGCTGTCACGTGCGTAACAATGCCACGCTCAGCTGCACCCTGCACAAAGATTTTCCAGCGAATGGACCACAATCTTTGTACCTGCAGCCTGAGAGCGATTGTTACTGGGTCAGGTTAATTATGCAATTAACCCTTCACTCTGCCACCACTGTCTTTTTGTAGAGAAAAGGAGGAAACTCACCAATATTAGCAATAACACTGATGTTTGAATAATCATCTGTATACCACTGTCACCGCAGCCAGAGATATATAGAGGTTTAAAAACACACAGTAGCACTCTTCAGAGACAGGGATTCTTAGTTTGCATTAAAGAGCTTTAGAAACAGTTCAACACTTTTCAGAAAATAATATTTATTACTAAAAAGGTCAAAATGCTGCAAGAAAAAGATGTAGCCAATATATATATATATATATATATATAAAAATACAGAGAGCAATAACACAGCAAAGAGATACCAGAAAGACGTTTAGAGAGGTAGAGTACTTGCCAAAAGTCCTGGGTTAAGCAGATCAAGTTTCAGAGCAAAAGGGTACCGTCTCCCGAGTTGTTTCCAATGTTAAAAGGGAGAATTCTTCAGCTTACTTCTCCAAACCTGACAGCCTTTTTCTAGGAACTCAGCAGGGTGTCTTCTTACAGCAGAGAACCAATCGCCTCATTTGAAGAGGGGTGTTTTAGGCGGGTGACTCAGGCTAGAACCAAAATCCCTCGCAAGTTATACCAGGGTCAATAACCTTCCCTAGGTACATGTAACATTCTATCCACGGGTAGGATAATCTGCAGAATGACCTGCTGAACATCTAGATATCAAACATGCCATATTTTACAATTCCAGCTAGAACTATATGGCTTTCTGCTCTCCTGTAGACTTCAACTAGGGGTGTAAGATATCAGATGACTCGCATTAAACTGAGCTATCCGAATATATGCTTTATTTTTATGTAATTATTTCCTACCTTAAGATATGAAATTATAGGGAAAAGTGGGTTTTAAATGTGAGGCCTGTTTTATGGCTACCTAGGAATGCGTTTGAAGCCCAGTGAAGAACTGGTTTATAGCTTTACGATTATCTCAGATTGAGAAGCTAACAGACACCCGGGCACCAGCTAATTTGGGATTTATAACCATGAAGCTGTCTCGCTGTGCCTTACTGCCTGTGCATTTCTGAACCCAGCACACAGGGACCAATTGTCACTCAACAGAGAGGGAGGGGGGAAGCTGATTTGGAGTAGAAATTATACAAGATGGAGGGCCTTTGGCAAAATGGAGGTTCGCATTCATCTCTGTACGTACAATTGCTACAGGTATAACAAAGTGGAAGTAACTGGGAACAACAGCAACTCAGCCACAAAGTGGTAGGCCATGTAAAATGACAGAGTGAAATCAGCGCATGCTGAAGTGCACAGTATGCAGGAGTTGCCAACTGTCTGCAGAGTCAAGCTAAAGACCTCCAAATTTCATGTGGCCTTCAGTGCCTAGAGAGCTTCATGGAATGGGTTTCCATGGCCGAGCAGCTTCATCCAAGTCTTACATCCCCAAGTGCAATGCAGAGCGTCAGATGAAGTGGTGCAAAGCACGCCACCACTGGACTCTAGAGCAGTGGAGATGTGTTCTCTGGAGTGATGAATGAAGCTTCTTTGTCTGGAAATCTGATGGACATGTCTGGGTTTGGGGATTGCCAGTACAGCGATACTTGCCTGATCTTTATTTCTGCTTCAAAGCAAAGTGTAAAAAAAAAAAAAAAAATCCCTGATCACCCCCCCACAGTAGTACAATGTTATTATGGTAACATGGTTCTATTCTGATAAAAGTAAAAAAAAATAAAAGAAATTAAGAATACCATATTGAGAATGAAAAAAAAATATTTTAACCGATTCCCGACCGCCCTATAGCAGAAATATTGCTACAGGGTGGCACGTGAGCGCAAAATCACGTATATATACGCACCCTGCCTGCAAAGCAAATCATGTCCGTGGCTATCAATCACTGGGTGCTGGCTGGTGATCACCCGCCGGCGCCCGGTGATTACCGACAATCACCAATGGGGAGGAGGGCTGCTTTGTTTACCAACAGTCCTCTTCCCTGTCGGCTCGGGCACACTGCACAGCCATCCAGAGTAGAGTGCTTACAGTGAAGCACACCCCCCCGCCCCCTAGTAAAACACTCCCATCACACAGTTAACCCTTTGATCGCCCCTCATGTTAACACCTTCCCGCCCAGTGCCATTAGTACAGTGTCAGTGCTTTTTTATAGCACTGATCACTGTATTGGTGTCACATGATTTGCGCTCCCGTGGTTATTGCGCCCCTCACAGATAGCATCAGATTGCCCACCAGTACACCCTTAATCACATTTAACTCCTTGATTGCCAGGAAAATTCTCACATACACAATAAACCTCCATTGTTAGTATAGTGTCTGAACGGATCAATATCTTTGATTAGATAAGCACTATACCAGTGTTCACATTAGTATAGTGTCCCCAAAAATACAGCGTTAGTGGGATGAGCCCCGGCACCTACCAGTACCTGTGTTTAGCCCCTACGATTACCCCCCCTTCTCCTCCGGCAAGTGCAGTGTCAGTAGGTCACTTGATATATTGCACACAAAACCGCAGTGTTAGCAGAATCAGGCCTGAGCTCTGTTAGCACTTGCCGGTAAATTTTGATGACTCTCATATGCAGCAGAGTGAGTTCCAGTACTAGTACCGCTCTAACTTTTGGTGAACTGGTGAGGACCAGCAACCTAGTACATCCTGGTCTTTCACATACCAGCACTACAATATCACTTGGTGACGTGGCAAGTCCAATAAGTGCAGTACAAGCTGGTGCAGTGGCTAGCACAAGTATTGACCAGCAGCCACCAAGAATTCGCACACAGGCCTGTAGCCCCCCTAGAATCCTTCTGGATGTGCTTGCAAATTCTGGTTGGCAGCCCACAAATTCTGGACCACCCGTACTTCTCCCATTCGCTGCCCAACCTGGAATTCAGGTGGAAACAGCACATTTAACTACTCCCCTTTATTTTTGGAGCTTTTTTTCATGGAAGATCTGTATGTATTGATTGTGGATCAAAGCAATTTATATGCACAACAGTTTATCGCCACCAACCCAAATTCAAACCTTGCCAGACCATTCGCATGGAAACCCATTACGGTTTCCGAATTTCAATTTTTTGGGGGCCTAACCCTCAACATGGGCATTACTAAAAAAAATTAATTGCGGTTGTATTGGTCCACAGACCCAATTCATCATATGCCCATGTTCTCTGCTGCCATGGCCAGGCATAGATGTGAGAGTATGTGTTTTATGCATTTCAACGACAATACACTCTGTTGTGACCCTGAATTTGACTGGCTCCACAAAATTTGGCCCCTCGTAAATCATCTTAACCAGAAATTTGCAGATGTCTATACTCCCCAGCAAAAAATCTGTGTTGATGAGTCCCTTATTAATTTTTCTAGCCATCTTGCATTCAAACAATTTCTCCCCGGCAAGTGTGCCAGATAGGGGGTCAGGATACATAAGACCTGTGAGAGGGCAACAAGCTATACATATAAGTTTTGGATTTATGAGGGAAAAGATAGTCACGTGGAGCCCCCAGGATACCCAGACTACATGGAGAGCAGTGGCAAGGTAGTTTGGCACTTGATGTCATACACATGGGGTACCACTTATACTTGTACAATTTGTATTCAAGCATGCCACTACTTAGACACTTGTACCCTCTTGGAATTGGCACATGTGGCACCATGCGACCTAATCACCGGGGCTTCCCCCAACGGCTTGTAAATACCCATCTTAGAAAGGGGGAAAAAGCCTGCTTGAGAAATGAGGATGTCATTCAGCTGCAGAACCGACTTGTTTATTCAGACAGCAACAGGGTCTTGCTCTCAGAATATACATAAGTAGGCGTGTGCAGTGCTGTTGCATGAGATTTATTAAAAAAAGATATCAATAAAAAAAGAGCATATATGCCAAAGCATGGGGGCCTGGGGTGGCCAGTGGGTGGATGGCCCCTGTCAGGGCTCTAGGTATGACCAGAGGTGTGTGGACCGACACAGGGAAACACAGACTTCAGGTATAGCGAGTAACACAATATAATTTATTAAAGGCAACACAAACATAAACGCAGTGTAAACAACCAAACTCAACACTTACATAAATATGTACAACCAGCTGCAATAAACCTTAAACTAATAGGTACCAGTGCAGTCAGGGCTGGAGAGGTGGAGCGGTCAGGCAGGCCGAGCCCACAGCACGGATTTCCTCAGGGCGCGGGGTCTAAGTCCCAGCCTACTGTTCACCAGGGCCCCTGATGGTGGGGATGTACTTGGTGCAGACTGGAACCAGGTCGCGACCCCTGAGTGCGTCCGGCTGTGGTAGAGAGTACTGGCAGCGGAGTGCGGGAACAGAGTCTGATGGGAAGAGGCAGGCAGACTTACTGAAGTGATCCGTGCGGGATGGATGGATGGATCGTCGGGTGAAGTAAGCATAGTCAGGCAGGCCGGGTCGGTATCGTGCGGGCAGCGAGGTACAAGAGGAGCGAGCAGAGAATGGTCGGGGTCACAAGCCAGGTTCAGCAGGTTGCGGGCAGGGCGGTACCAGGGATCAAGCAAAAGAGTAGTCAGGAAAGCCAGGGGTTAATCAGGAGAATAGCAGGATCAGGAACAAGGAATGAACACAGGAACAATATCAGGAACAGCAGGTAAGAGACAGGGAACAGGGAACAGGGCACATGGGAAACATACACCAAGGCCCTGATCACAGGCCTGGTCATTCCTTAAATACACTTCCTGCAATCAGCTTCAGGTGTTGGCTGACTGCAGGAGTGAGCTTCTGGCTGCTGAGAGCTATGCTGGTACTGCAGCCCACATGGCAGGTGAGTCCCACCACCAGTGCTGAGTCCATTCCTGACAGCCCCTATTCTTCGGCACATATATTTTTATAATATTTTGTGGCACATTTCATGTGTGCCACCATTAGAAGTGGGTGGATGCAGGGTGATATATTCTAATGGTGAGCATACCACACACTTTTTCTGGCAGAGATTTCTTCTCTTTTTTTCATTCAGCCCACAGCTGCATAAAAAAAAAAAAACATAGCATATACACCCAACAAGGATCAGTGATGTACTGGTACATCACTGGAATTTGAGTGGTTGTACCAGGATGATTCCTGCAGCTGCAGGCATCATCCTTGTATAATTTTTTCAGCCGACAATTGGCTTTTATGTAAAAGCAATTCTATTGGCTAATTAGCTGAAGGATTGTTTTTACAAGGAGCGGGAGAAGATGTTCCCCTCCCCTTCTGCCTTCCACGGCCTTCATGGGCAGTCCCGTGCCATCAGTGGAACCTGAGAATGCAGCCGGTGTTTCTGCCAGTTAACTATAGAGCTGATTGGAGACCGGAATGGTGCCAATCATCTCTATAGTCTAAGAAATCAGAAGCTACGAGCATTTCAGCACTTCAGTTTCACAAGATATAAACAGCACCATTTGTAAATTGGGAAAGCATCTGATCACACCAATCTTGGTGAGATTAGATAATGTAAGGGCAGAGGAGATATCTAGATTTGTAAAAAAAGAATATATGACATGGCTCATTGAAGTTATAGGGGATATTTGCATTCCCTGTGATAGCATTAAAAGTGATAGCAAAAAATGAAAGGGACAGTGTAAAAATAGTTTTAAGAAATCTAATTAACTTAAAAAAAAGCACCCTCACCCCCCTGTTTTTCAGGCTTCTGTATGTGGCTAGGCTCTCAAAAAGTCTCACACATTTGGTATCCCCATACTCAGTAGAAGTAGCAGAATGTACTTTGGGGTGTAATTCCACATATACCCATGGCTTGTGTGAACAATATCATTTACATGACAACTTTGTGTAAATAAAATGTTTTTGTCATTTTCCAAAAAACTTGTGGAAAAAAATAAATCTTCCATGGACTCAATATTCCTCTCCGCAGACAGCTTAGGATGTCAACTTTCCGAAAAGGGGTCATTTGGGGGTGTTTGTACTGTCCTGGTATTTTAGCACCTCAAGAAATGTGATAGGCAGTCAGAAAGTAAAAGCTGTGTAAATTCCATTATCTATACCATAGTTTGTAGATGCTATAACTTCCACACATAGCAATCAATATACACTTATTGGGATTTTTTTTACCAAAAACATGTAGCAGAATACATTTATGACGAAATTTGAGTTTTTTGGATATTTTTTATGACAGCAATGAGAAAATATTGTTTTTTAAAAAAATTTCGGGGTTTTTTTTTTGTTTATAGCACAAAAAAAAAAAGCACACATGTGATCAAATACCACCAAAAGAAAGCTATATTTGTGTGAAAAAAAGGACCTACGTTTTATTTATGTACAATATTGCATGACTGTGCAATTGCCAGTTAAACTAGTGCAGTACTGTATAGCAAAAAATGAAGTAAATTGCAGTATCAATACAATATTTGTAGATGCTATAATTTTCACACAAAGCAATCAATATACACTTATTGGGATTTTATTACCAAAAACATGTAGCAGAATACATTTTGGCATCAATTTATGACTAACTTTGAGTTTACTATTGTTAGATAATGAGTTTATATGAAATCTCCATTAAACACTGTAAATAATACTGTAATTATGAATATATTTCAGTTACAGCTGTATCAGTCTGGGTGTGCAATATGTCTTCCCATAAATTCCTGTTCTATAGATACCATAGTTGCCAAAGGGAAAATTCTATTAATTACACCTTCTTTACTGTATAACAGAAGTCTTTGCTGAGAATCCTCTTTCAGACAGTTCGGTGCCAGAGTTAGTTTATCTAACAATGGGACAAACATGTTGGCTTCACCTATGCACTTCAAAGGATATCTTATTTAGATATGCAATCAAGGTGGCCAGCAGTTCATGAATTAGTTTCCCAGGAAAAGGTCATGAACTCGCATGCTTAAATTCCATAAACAGTGGGACAAGATTTGCCTTAAAGGTAGTTGGTGTATGCTAAATAAAGGGGATTTGAAGTTAGCCAATTATGAAAGGGAATAGATTGGCCAACCAATCAGAGATACTCCATGAGAATTAATGGAGGAGAGGCCTATAACTATGGACACTAGAGAGAGAGAGGCTATTTTTTGGAACACCAGAAGAAGGGAATTGCACGTGTACGTCCAGTTCCATGGTAATTATGGGATATATGCCTTGCACTTATATCTAAATGTTTGTCTTATGTCTTTTCTGTCTCATTGTTTGTATTTTCTAATACATTTGAGCTTTCTTAATAATGTTTCTTTTATGTAACTAGATAGATTGTTTGTGTTAGTTTAGACCTCCATCCTATTCACCAATAAATTTTGATTGTTGTGTTAAACCTTTCACTTCTGAGTAAGAACTCTTCATTTACCAAATAATATCAGAGAAATATTATATTTCATAATCTATAGATTTGGTCAACATATATATATTTTTATAGCTGAAAGTAAAAAATATAATTTTTCTTCAAAATTTTCGGTATTTTTTATTTATAACATGAAAAATAAAAAGCACAAAGGTGATCAAATACCACTGAAAGAAAGTTCTATTTTTGTGAAAATACCAGTTGAATAGTGCAGCACCGAATAGCAAAAAGAGGCCTGGTCAGGAAGGGGGGTAAATCCTCAGGAGGGCAAGTGGTTATCTACTTGCCAACCGCTTACTTGCATTTTGTGGGCGAACAGCAGCTCTTGGCAAAGTGACCTAGTCTTGCTTTGCTTCCTATTTTGGAGTGTGAACATGCCTACGCCCCCCACTGCCCCTGGACAGTCCAGGGAGAGAAGAGAGAACACGACACAGAGTAAAAGCACTACATTTTACACACACACACACACACACACACACTCACTCACGTTAGATTAGCACATTTAACCCTTTGATCACCCCTATTAACCCAGCCAGTGCCATTAGTACAGTGCCAGTATATACAATTTTGCACTGATCACTGCACTTCTGCCACTAGCAACATCAAATAGTGTCAGGGTCAGTTAGCGCCCCTCCCAGCCAGGGTCAGCTAGTGTTAGATTGCCTGCACACTATCACATTCACGCTATAGGTCATTGATCCCCGCCATTACTAATATAGTGTTTGTATTGATCATGAACAGAACTATACTAGTGCCTCCTTTGTATAGTGTCCCCAAAAACGCAGTGTTAGTATTATCAGCCCTGTTCCTAGATAGCACTAGCGTTTAGCCCCTTTGCTGTTTTTCAAAGAAGATTTGTACCAATTGATTGTGGGCCAAGGCAAATTTTACGCACAGCAATACATTGCCACCCACCCAAATTCAGCTATTGCCATGGTTTATGGATTTAAAACTTTTTTTGGTCTAACCCTCAACATGGGCATTACAAAAAAGAATGAATTGTGGTCATATTGGTCCACAGACCCGATTCATCATACAGTATGCCTGTGTTCTCTGCTGTTACATATATGCCCGACATGGAGCAGCAATGTACTGGTACGTTGCTGGACTTTGAGTGGTTATAGCAGGATGATGCCTGCAGCTACAAGCATTATCCTGGTATTGTTTTTTTCAGCTGGTGGTCAGCTTTCATGTAAAAGCAATCCTAGTGGCCAATTAGCTGCTAAATTTTTTTACGAGCAGCAGGAAGGGACATCCCCCTCTCCTGCTGCCTTCCACAGCTTTCTTGGGCTCTCCTGTCCCACATGGGTATCCGAGAATGCAGCCAGAAAATCCGCTGGCTGACCATAGTGCTGATAAGAGACCAGTATGGCTCCAATCATCTCTATAGTCTAAGAAATTAGAAGCTACGAGCATTTCATGACGTCAGTTTCTCAGGATATAAACAGTGCCATTTGTAAATTGGGAAAGCATCTGACCACACCGATCTTGGTGAGATCAGATGATGTAAGGGCAGAGGAGATTTCTAGAGTCTAATAGACCCCAGCTTTCTCAAAAAAGAAAACCTGTCAATGTCTATTGCAGTTACAGGGGATATTTACATTCTCTGTGATAGCAATAAAAGTGATTAAAAGAAATAAACAGTGTAAAAATAATTTAAAAAATCAAAATGACTACAAAAAAAAAGCACTCTAGCCCCCTGACTGCGTAAGCTTTGACTCTGTGCTGGTATGTATTAAAAAATTCTTTTTATTCATATGAGAATTTTCATGGGTTGAGTAACCTCTTCATTTTCAATATGGAGACTAGCATGCAAAAAAAGATGATCATTTTGGATCATTCAGACTGGGCAGGGGGGAAGATGACAGTCAAAGAGGGGGTCATAAAACTCTTGTTATTTTTTTTTCCCCCTCAGCGATTCTTTGTGCTAAAACTGTGTGTATTAGTACTGCTAAGACCTTGAAGAAGGGGACATATCCCTAAAGCTTGTCCTGAATAACTGTATGTTAGCGCAAATAAAAAAAGTATCATGGACAGTACTCAATCGTTTCAGTTGCAAGTGCACTAAAACAGCTACAATCCCCTTAGTGCACACAAACCAAATATAATACCCATCTTTTGTAAAATATTAAAGATGATGTTATGCTGAGTAAATAGATACCTAATATGTCTTGCTTTAAAAATTCAGATCCCACATAATGGTGATGAACTACAGTATATTAAATTATCCATAAGCAATGTTTTAAAAAAGACTTTACAGGTTACCCGTTTAGAGTTGAACAAGAGGACGGGTGCTATAATTACTGCTCTAACTTAGACATTCACAACAATGCCAGACATGTTGTGTGATCATGTTTACATTTGCATGTGGGACCTACATTCCTGTTCACATTTGACCACAGTGGGACAGGGGTGATTTCAATAATTTTTCTTTATTATTTTATTTAAAAAAAAATGTTGAGACTGTCTCTTTAATTTTTTATCAACTTTATTTCTATCATAAGGGATCAACAACGCCCCCTCTGATTACATGGGCAGTGACAGGTACTGTTTACTGAGAGATCTGGGTGTCAAGGTCCTACCTTTCCCCAGAGGTTATGCTGCTCCATGTGCTGGCATCCATCTTAGGTTTCTGCAAAGCATAGTGGGAGCCTTTTATGCTTTCAGACCTCTGAGGTTGGGAAGATTGTCTGCACTTGCTCTTTGCATTCATGTCCTGTATGATTGTGTTGTGTCAAGTCCATCCCCACCATCAGGGGCCCTGGTGAAAGGCAGCCTGGGGCTTAGACTCCGTGCCCTGAGGGACTCCGGTCTGTGGATGGTGGTTGTCATCAGTCGGTGCATGACCCTACCATTAGGCCTGCCTGTCCATTCCACTGTTCCTGCCCTGACACTGGGTTCTATTAGACCCCCAGATCTCTTCTCTGCTCTCCAAAGCAGCCAATCAAACTGAGATCTGTTTGATCAGCTGCTTTACTAGACTTTAAAAGCTAGTAAACAAACAGCTGAAATCGGAAGTGACAACATCTTAATTGCTTCCTGTTTGATACAGCATAGAGATGAAGTTCCTCCGTCATCTCTATGGTAGCCTCGAGCTCCCAGGTGGGACATAAGAGTCTGAAAACAGCAGCACATGGCAGCATGAGGTGGGCATTTCCATGGCTGTTTAGCCATGCAGCTAGACTGCCTTTTTTTTTGTTTGCCTTTTTTAATGCTTACCACTTACTGACTTTGGTTTCTGTACAATTTCCCTCGGACAAGCTATTGGGCTGCAGAGTGGTAATATAAATACTGGTTGGGAAAAGGGATTCAAGAAAACATTGTCTGCCCACTAAGTAACACCATTTACATGTTCTGTAAATGGGGATGTGTTAGTAAATACATTGATCTATTTAACAGCAACTTCTGAAATGTTGCTCACAGATATAGGCTGTCAATAGAGGAAAATGCAAGTAATTGTGGAAAAACAACTCTTTGGGATTCAAAGGTAATACATCCATATTATAGCATAAATGGTACAAGAAATGTAACCCTATTTGGTTAGGTGTAGTTCAGCTTTAAGGCTCCAATCACACTTATGCGTACTTGTAAAGCCACTTTGGACACATAGTCACCTGATAAGTCGCAGCCCATTGTTTTCAATGGCACCCATTTGGATCTATGCGACTTAAAGTTGCAGCAGCTTTGAAATGGTTCTTGCACTACTTTGATGTGACTTTGATGCAACTTGAGTGCCAGAGAGTATAAAGTCGCATCAAAATCAC